ATTTAGAGCTAAAATTATATTATATGTGCTTTTAGTGTCGTTCTGTTTTGTGAATTCGATGCAATTATTAGCTGGAAAAAACAAGGTTTCTTTACCCTAAATTTACTATCATATCTCTTTTTCAAACAGTATCTGGTCCTTTGTTTTTTTTGAAGGCTCAAAGAGAGACTTGCAGTTTGCAGAACTCTGGTTTAGACACTGTTTTTATTAAAAATGGGCTCTGCTTTTAACAATGAAAAGAAGGAGTCTAATTATCCCTGCTTATCATGCTGAGGAGCAGCACAGCACTCATCACCTGAGGCCTCTGTTTCATTAAAGGCTTTTCAGCTGCTGAGAAAACCTTCATTTACTGCAAGGCTGCACCCCAACATGTGAACATGGTCAGTTTTAAACAAAAACAGGAAATTACTAATGAATAGGAGGCTAATCAGATTTCAGCTCAGTTAGACTAAGGCTGTCACTAGCAACGGATTTGTTTTCTGATTTTCTTAAATTCATTTACCTATAAACACCGATTAGAGCAAGAAGAGGAAGAAAATTGGTTATTTTCCACGCAAAAGTAAGGAAGATTTGACTGAAATAGTACAGATGAGTATAGATTGGATCTATTCTGTGTTTTAATCAGAAATGCAGCCTGGATCCAAAAACGGTCTGTTTTGTAAATAACTCTCTGTAGGGTCAGTTTGTGTCCAGAATGCGTAGGGTTAACAGAGATGTTATGCTACGTTCAGATTGCAACTAAAGCAACTAGTTTACATGCAATGTAAACATGGTTGACGCGCATCAAGGCTCAGCAAAAGGTCCCACAGTGCGTTTTGAGCAGCAAGAGCAGCGTCTCATGAGCTTCTGAGCATCTGAGGCGAGCAATGCGCTTCAGAAGCAGCAGCTGCTGTTGGAGTTGGAAGAAATGTACTTGTTGCTGGACGTGCCTCATCAACCAATCAGAGAAGCTGATCTGGGAGCTGGCAGGGAGTCAGACGCAGCACTGCTGATGCAGAGCGCTATGATCACTCCTCTGAAACAATTTATTAACGCCTAAATTAAATTAAAATGCCGAAATCTGCCAGCAAAAGATGTTAGATTTTTTTATTTTGATGCCTGCAGTTTGAATTACGTACGTGAATAACGCTTTACTGCAGCCGCGAACAGTAGCGGAACATCGCAAAGAGGCGAGCGGGCCTGAGGCAGCTGCTGCTGGGGATTCCCACTGATAGCGCACCGCCGCTATGTGGGGGTCTGAGCGACTCTGACAGTAATCTTAATCTTGATAAAGTCGCTGCACAGACTATGATTTCAGGTGGACTTTCTCACTTTAAACATATTAAAACTTTTTACCCTCTGATCACCGAAAATATACCTGGAAAATGATCTAGAAATAAGTTAATATTTCTCAAATTAAGTGTATTCACCCTTAATTTGAGTCGGTAAATGAGATGATTTGCCAATGGAGTATTTTTACTAAATTTTATCTAAATAAGATATTTAGATAAAATGCACTTGAAATAAGACCTTGGAACGGTGTTTTCTTATTTTAAATGTAAATTGTCTTGTTCCATTGGCAAAATGTCTCTTTTACCTTTTCAGTTCAAGAACAAATGCACTTATGTTAAGAAAAAATGACTTATCTAGATTTAGATTTTTCCGGTGTAGCAAAGCTGAACACAGGAGCAGCAGAAGCATCAGACTCTTCTGGACACACTTCATTGGACGTGCTTTAGGACCGTCAAAGATGCTCTTGACCCGCATCTGACCCTAATGTATCAAAAATAAAGCAAGGCACGTGTTTTTGCTGCCTCTGCTGCGTGGGATCATTAGCTTCCCTTTTCCCAATGGAGGGAAGCCTCCTAACCAGTAGGGGCTGGTGGAGTTTTACCGGGTGGGGCTGTAACTTCAAAATAGACATATACCAAAAATATACCAATCAAATGTATACTAAGCTATCAAACCAGTATATTTACATCAATGCCAACAACAGAAAGCAACATTTCTGCATGTTCTGCTTTAAGTCAGTCCTTGCTGTCTTTATCCATGCTGGGTCAGTTCCTGACGTTTGAAAAAAGGAGGCAGGGAAGGCAGGATAAAGCTTTAGCCTCGCTGCATGCAGTTAGCCTAGCCCTGTAGCTAAATAATCCTATCAACCTGTCAATCAGCCGCACTTCATAACAGACGACTGTGACGTCCGCGCTGTGGAGGGAGGTGGTGTGCGAATAAAGTTGCTTTCAGCTCTGAGTGCAGGAGAGATTTTTTCGCACCAATGTCACCAATCCGCCGACGAATGAAACGGCTTTACTCGACATTAAAGATTAAATATTTATCTGGCACATCTGAAAATATATATTGATATATTTAAAAATATTTTTATTTTATACTTCAATTTTAGTTTTTTCATATCTTAATCAAGGTCTTTTTTAATGTGGATATTTGCAAATAGATTGGCACCTCAGAAGCTCTATGAGAACACAGAGTTCACTGATTGGGTGTCAGAGAATCCAGTCCCAATTTGACCAAATTTAGATCCTGAAAGTTTGACTGAAATCTGGCAAAAGAGAATAAAAAGAAAACTTTTGGAACTGAACCGCTTTATTGTTTCATGATTTAAAGATCAAACATGTAAGGAAGCCTAACTGGGTCAGTGTAGCTTATTAAGTGACTCATTTAGGATTAGAAGGTAAAGAAAAACAGTCTAAAATAATGATGAAAGCAGTCATCAAATTCACTTATAAAGACTCTGCAGCAGACAGACGATTGGTTTACTTTAAAGTATCCAAAATAAAACAAACCTTCTCTAAACATTAAATGATTTTATAGAAATTAAACTACATCAGTGATGTTCCCGCTCTCTTAGGCTTCTGCTTTGCTAATGTTTCCTGTTTGTCACTCATAGATTAGTCTCCCTTAAAGTAAATTTTTTTATGCATATATTTAGATTCTTTCTTTAGTTTATGTTTATTGTTTATAAATGTCTAGAAACGGATGGAAAAACCCAGAACATAAAGTCAGAAGCTTAAAACGAACACAGGGTGGTTTTATTGCTGCCATCAGCTCAACTGCACCTTCTGGATGTCGTCTCTTCTGCTGCAGGTACCAGATCTGCTCGGGGAGATTATGATGTCATCATAAGGCAACTCCACTCGGACAAACTGTGTTGCACCCGTTTCTTAAAGATCAAATCTCTTGTAGTCTCAACATATTATTCCCTATATTTGCTATTATTTTACATTTAATTGGTGATGTGATTAAGTAGAAAACAATCATTCTAAGTCTTGAAATGAAAGTGCCGCCTTTTAGGGCAGATTGAGCTCTGCCATTTAAAAAGATGACTAAACAAATCTTAGCTAATTTTTATTCTTTTTATTAAGATCTGAGGACAGAAAGGAGAAATGAAACATCTCAAAAACGGCTTTCGTAGGCTTTCTTTTACTGGTATAAAACGAACGGTTGCTGTTGACACAAAGTTAAAAGTAGTGTAGCTTAATATGGCTAACTGAGCGAGCTAAAAGAGGCTAACCTGTTAGCTACTGAGCACAGCTAGCCACAGCGCTACCCAGCTCCCCCCCTTCATATCACGGTCGAACAGTAACTTTGTTCACCATAAACAGATTTTTTCAGTTTTTTTATCCATCAGGTAAAACTTCATTAGTCATTAGACATGCTAACGCTACAGATGCTCCCGACTGGGCACACTGACGCTGCATTATGTTATTACCGTTGTCTGGGCGACCATAATGGTTTATATCATGTGATAACGTTCAGCCAATCATGTGGCGTAACGCTGGCATGAAGCAGGACCAAGCAAATCTGGTAGCTACACAGGATAGAACCTCAAATGCTTATGTTTAATGTTGCTTAACTTTAAATTTAAAATAGAGAAAAAACACTTTGATTCTTTAGATCAGTTTAAAAACATTTTGTTTGTTAGAACAAATTCCAGTGGAGCGAACCGAATTCACAAGCCAAACTTAAGCCGGTGTTCTGTCAGACTAGCATACCCATAGTCAATACGCATACACAATACATCAGATTTGTGTTTATCCCTTTAGTTTTTTATGAAAAGTAGACTTTAAACGACCTCAACGGGCGGGTGTCCCTTTAGCCATGAACAAAAATAACAATTTAAGGTCAGATTGCCATTTGCTTAAAAAAACACTAAAAATGAAGTAATTAAATAGTTTTTTTTGTACACGATTAAAGGAATACACATCCGTTGGGGTAGTTTTAAGTGTATTTTTCGTACTTAACTAAAGGGATAAACGGGTATTGACTAGTGTTGCACCGATGCCATTTTTTGACCCGATACCTGGCTGTTCAGTATTGGCCAATACCATCTGTTTGAAATTGACGTGTGCGTATCTATAAAGAACTGCAGACTACTTGGATGTAAAATAATTTCCATCATGGCTTCGTCAAGCTGCTGCCTACCTTTGTGAAGGAGGAAAAAGACTAATTCAAAGTTTTAATTGCCTCCCTGGAATGAGTGACAATAGTTGAAGAAACTTTTGGCTCTCTAAATGGTATCGGTCCTATTTGTTGGTACTCGCTGATACCGATACCAGTGCTGGATTGGGCCCCGGCTGATGCTGGTATCGGTGCACCACTAGTATTGACCATGGGTATGCTGGTCTGACAGAACACCGGGACAGATAGAGGAAGAACTCCACTAACTGCAACTGTATGCTTAGCAGAGATGGGAAGTAACGAAGTACAAATACTTTGTTACTGTACTCAAGTAGGTCTTTCTGATATTTTTACTTTACTTTTATTCTTATGGTGACTTTTTACTTCTACTCCTTACATTTTTACACAAATATCTGTACTTTCTACTCCTTACATTTTAAAAAATT